AAAACGGAAATCTTAATACCTTACCTTCTTGGGATTGACCATCTTATTATATCATGTTTGGAGAAATATACTTTACTGCCTTCATCTCTCGTACTTTTAATTCTTTTCTTATATTTTTTTCCAATTTTTTATATTATATCTCAGTTTGATAAGATAGATTCTCAAAGTGGAAGTGATCATATTGGTAGTAGTTCTGGTCCATCTTCTGAGTCTAATGATTCATCCAATTAGACTGAAGAAGCTCCATTGTGGAAATATGTAACGAAGTTAGAGAAACAATGAACAAAGTGAGGAACTTGGAAATTGAAGTACAATATCTGTAATGACATTCATCAAGGCTCATATTATAGAGTTAATGCACATTTACTTGGATTGTCGGATTGTCGAGTCCTGGGATAACTAATTGTAAGAAAGCAACAAGGACTGTAAAGCTTGAAATGTAGAGAATGGAAGACGAGTTTGAGAAGAAGAAAGCTGAGTCTGGATCTAAGGAAGTTCCTTTAGCCTATGAGAAATATGTTGCCTGCTTTTAAAAAAGAAAGTCTTGCTTCTCACCTATTGTTGCTGCATTTGGTATTCAAGCTAGAGATCAACTGGATCAAGAGATTGAAATAATGTTTTTTACAGGAGGCTTGCCATTCAATCTTGCTAAAAACCTGCATTACCACAGGGCATTTCAGTTTGCTGCTACCAAAAAAATTGATGGTTATGTTCCTCCTGGTTATAATAAGCCAAGAAAAACCTTATTTCACAAAGAAAAAGAGAATGTTGAGAAGTTCTTAGTACCGTTGAAAGGGACATGGAAAGAAAGAGGGTGACGATTGTGAGTGATCGTTCGAACGATCCTACAAAAAGACATCTAATCAATTTCATAGCAACTTCTGGAAATGGTCATGTGTTTCTCAAGGCTGTGAATTGTTTTGGCAGCTATGGAACCTAAAAGTTGGTGGGCGAAATTTGGTGCCGAAACAATTCACAGTCTTGAGAAACACATGATCATTTCCAGAGGTAGCTATGAAATTGATTAGAGGTTTTCTTGTATGATCGCTCCAACCATCACTCACAATCGTCACCCCTTTTTCTTTCCATGTCCTTTTCAACGGTACTAATAACTTCTCGACATTATCTTTTTCTTTGTGCAATAAGATTTTTCTCGGCTTATTATAACCAGGAGGAACATAACCATCAATTTTTTTGGTAGCAGCAAACTGAAATGCCCTGTGGTAATGCAGGTTTTTAGCAAGATTGAATGGCAAGCCTCCTGTAAAAAACATTATTTCAATCTCTTGATCTAGTTGATCTCTAACTTGAATACCAAATGCAGCAACAATAGGTGAGAAGCAAGACTTTCTTTTTTTAAAGCAGATTGAACGACATTCTCTTTTTCTTTCTGCAGTAAGGTTGTTCTCAGCTTATTATAACCAGGATGAACATAACCATCAATTTTGTTGGCAGCAGCAAACTGAAATGCCCTGTGGTAATGCGTAGTTCTAGCAAGGTTGAAAGGCAAGCCTCTTGTAAAAAACGTTCTTTAAATCTCTTGATCCAGTTGATCTCTAGCTTGAATACCAAATGCAGCAACGATAGGTGAGAAGCAAGACTTTTTTTTTAAGTAGGCAACATCTTTCTCACAGGCTAAAATTAAGAAATTCCTTAGATCCAGACTCAGCTTTCTTCTTCTCAAACTCATCTTCCAATCTCTACATTTCAAGCTTTCAGTCCTTGTTTTTTTTTCTTACAAATAGTAATCTCATGACCCGACAATCCAAGTAAATGTGCTTTAACTCTGTAATATGAGCTTTGACGAATGTCATTACAGAAATTGCACTTAAATTTCCAAGTTCCTTCTTTTGCTCCTTGTTTCTCTAACTTCGTTACATATTTCCACAATCGAGTTTCTTCAGTCTGATTGCATGAATCAGTAGACTCAGAAGATGGACTAGAACTACTACCAATATGATTATTTCCACTTTGAGAATCCATCTTATTAAACTGCGAATATAAAAAATTGAAAAAAAAATTAAGAAGAGAATCAGAAATACGAGAGATGAAGGCAGTAAAGTATATTGCTCCAAACATGATATAATAAGATGATCAATCCCGAGAAGGTAAAGTATTAAGGTTTCTGTTTTGCAATCAAACTAACGAACAAGACATACTTTTGAAACATACTTTTCTAATTCCTAAATTAAGAAGAGAAACAGAAATAATGAGAGATTATCGATGGAAAAGAAAAAGAGCAAGTGGGAGCAACTACATACGAAAGGTGATGAGATACTGAAAGCCTGATATGCTGCTCCGATTGAGAATTTCTGATCGAGACGTGAAAGTGAAGAGATGACGTGAGAGAACAGGAAAACCAAAGAGTTGTGAGAGGAAGTTTGATAAAACTCTAAATAAGTTTTTCGTTTATTTCTTTTTATTTTAGTATTTTCCTTTCGATAAAATAAGTTAATATATTGATTAAACACCAACGAAATGTATTGGGTAGGCCTCCATCACCGTCCGTTCAGCAGTCGCCGTCCCCATTCATCGGTTGCCATCCCCGGTTTGGTTGATATGTCTTGGGGACGTTTCCTATGTGTACCGGCGCCATATCCGAACCCCAGCCATACATGGGACGGGTTCCTTGACCAATTCAAGGTACCGGTGCTTCAGAGGTTATGGTGGAGTTGATACTATCCATATAATATGGTTGGAGTGCCCATGAGGCGGGGATTCTCTTATTTTCGGAATACCAAATAGCCATAGCTTCAGGAAAGAAACGATTACAATCCATCCAACCCAAAAATTCAGTATGCTGATTAAGAGAATCCAGTTTCACATCACCGAAATACAAAATCCTTGATGCAGGTAGATGAAGTAAAACTCTAAGTTTAGGCATAAAAACAAAAACAGACATACCTCTCACTTTTCATATCTAGACACAAAAGTAATCCTTCCAATAGGAGACGAAGAACACCTGTTAAAAAAACAACAAGAAACCAAAGCACTTAAAGTCAATAACATTTGAACCAAAAAAAAAACTCAATAACAAAACGAATAACAATACTGATAAGCGAACAACTTTACAAAAGCACGAAATCGAACCAAAATTAAGAAAAAAAATCGAGGCCATGGAAATCACCTGTTTCAGATGTTGGAAAGCCAAAGTACTTAAACACAGCCTCTTAAAATTTCTGCAATGGTGAACAAAACAATGGAGTTATATTAAAACAAGACAAAAAACATAAAAACAACGAAAACAAAACAAACAAACAAAAAAATATGATGCTAGGTAAAACTAAAAACTACAGCAGAGATAACAAACGTAAATAATGATCTATGAAGGGATGAGGCTTGATATGACTATGATCTAGGGTTTTAGATTTGCGACTACCATTTAGGATTTAGATTTGCTTTTTTTTGTCTTCTCCAAATGGTGACGAAAATTGGGCTATAGCCCAATATATTTTCTGCATTACATGACCCAATAGTAAATGAACCAGGATAAAAAAAGAAATTCAGTTGAACAATGGTAGGCTATTTGTCAAATTTTAATTTAAACCATGTTAAACATAATTTAAACCAAAAATAAGAATAATATCAATTTTTTGTTGAGGGAGAGGATGATAATTAGACCTTGAATGGTATAGCTAATAGTAAAGAATTATGCTTAAGCAATGTGATGTTGATGTTGTATGCTATTATTAGTATATATATTTTAAATGATTGACAGAGCTATGAGTAATTACATATAAATTTTTGTAAACAAAATTTAATATATTTATTTATATATGATATGTTATAATTATAATATAATTTTTTAGAATTTATCATATTTACTAAATATTATTTAATTATAATAATATTTTTAAAATAAAAATAGTAAATATTAGTGTTAAAAATGTTATTATAATCATAGTTTTAAAATAAAAATGGTAAATATTAGTGTTATAAATTTACATTTTAATATAAACATAATTTTTGGGTGTTAATTTAACAAAATAAGATAATTATATAAAAATTATTTTAAATTATTAAAATATTTTAAAGAATAATGCTTTAGAAAAACTCCATGTGAAAACATAAAAAAAAAAGCTTTTAGGAGAGCATTTGATTCTTCTAAATGCTTTTCTAAATGCTCTATTTTTTTTATGAATTTTAAATGTTCTATTAACAAAAATTGATTGGCTTTTTATGAAGCATTATGTCTATGAATATACCAATCAATTTTTTGGCCATCCACAGAATCAATGAGAGAGCTGAAAGGCTAAAATTCACTTCGATGTTTCCACCCCAAAACTTCAAACAAAGATTTCCCATTAACCCGTAAAACAATAATTTTCACCTAAACTTACAAATAAGCCTATTTTCTCTTGTCTCGATGTTTAAAGGCTCAAAAAATGCGAAATGTTTGTATTAACGATGTTAAATACTTACTTTGTTTTTAATTAAATGATGTTTTAGCATTTTGCATACAAATTAAGAAATTTTGTATAATACTATTTTTAACTTTCTTTAATTGAATTAGAACTTTTTGACTGGAAATTATATCAATAAATAAGGCAAATAAAGTCAGTTTATGTGAATTTTTGCACAGATTTTTGAGAACATCACTTATATAAGAACAAAAAAGAATTCTTAAAATATTAATTAATCAAGAACAGAAAGAGTATTAATTTGATGATTATTTGGTTGTAAATATACATTAAGTTTTTAAAATCGTTATTAACGTAAAACATATGAGAAAAAAAAAACGTACAACATATTATTTTTAACCATTTATTTTAAAGTGCATCCAAATAATATATAGAACATACAAAAAACAAATATAATACATCTAAATTGTAAAAACGAAAAATGACCTGCATAATGTTGCATCCCGATGCAGTTTGTAGACTCGGCACGTAGATACACAAACGAACAGGACTTTAATCTCTTATCAGAAAAGTTTATCCTATTCATTTTAGTACCTACTACCATCTTCTCTATTTATTTTTATTTCATATCCGAACAAGAGAGAAGTGCCAGAGAGCAATCAAGGCAAAAGCTTCTCACAAGATCGAACATGGGAAAGGATAAGACTTTGCCTTTGCTTGACCCTCGTGAGCCACCAGAACTTTCCGAAACCAAACCGGCATCGAAAGTATGGGCCAAAGAGTTCGGGGAAGAATCAAGGCGGCTATGGGAGCTTGCTGGACCGGCCATCTTCACGGCCATCAGTCAATACTCTCTCGGTGCACTCACTCAGACTTTCTCCGGTCGTCTCGGCGAACTCGAGCTCGCCGCCATCTCCGTCGAGAATTCGGTCATCTCCGGTCTCGCCTTTGGTGTCATGGTGCGTCATCCTTCACACGTGTCTCGTTCTTGTTTATATGTTGTGTTCCAATAAGGCCAGGCGATCAGAAATTAATATTTTATGTTTGTTTGTTTGTAGTCGTTACTGACAAAGTAGATCTCTCCATTGAAACCATTAGACTATATAAGAGTTAGATTAGTTGCATGGTTTGATTTTGTTTGTGATCAACGAAACATGTTTGATTAATGCAAGTAATTTATATTATTCACTTTAACTCTTATAATGAAAATTTATCTCCATATATGAAAACTTATTCACATCATCTTGAAATTAAAGAGATGTCAGTTTATGAGTTTAGTTTGTAGACAAGAAATTTTTTAACTATTTTGGCCAAATTAACCAGATTGTTAGGTACTGAAATAAATTAGTGGCAAACTTAACATTAAACGGTTAAGTCTAAACCCAAAAGAAATGAAAAACAATTTTAGTCGCAACTAGGTTCAACATAAGTATTTATGGACTGACAGAACCTATCTTTTTCTATCACATGTCCCTTTCTATGCTTAAAAGTTGAGAAAACGTGTAGCATTATGAGAATTTGCAACGGGACAGAGCTAGGGCAATGCTTACAGTGATAGTAAAAAGGCTCAAGCCTCTGGCCCGACTTTTAAAATTTAATAGGTTCAAGTGACCTAGGTTCAATTAGTAAAACAATTTTATTTAACGATGTAGTGATCTGCGTCGCGAAAGGTCAAAGGAGATATCTATAAATGATGTTATATATATTTTCTTAATATTGGTGAAATAATTTAAATGATTTTAGATATGATCTAAATAATCTATATAATAATCTAGCAATAAGTGCCTATAACTGGTTACTTATGTGTAATTTGCGGATCATAATTTTTTTGAATATTTATTAACTTTTATTTTCTTTGATTTGACAATCTCCTTAATAAAGAATGTTATTTTGCAGTTTTCTTGCAATTTGATTTGAGATATAGAAATAAAAAGTTTTATTTATTAGAATAATTATATTCATGCCATTCACAACTTATGTTTCACTAAACTAAAACTAAAAAGGAAAAATTGTTGAGAAAGTTTCGGGGATCGCATGAAATTTCTTCCATTTTTCATATATTTTAACTTCCTCTATGGAAAAAGCTAAGAGATCAAACAATACGAGCAAAAAAGTAAAAAAATTTAACATTGTGGTGATGGAAAATGGTGGCAGTTAGGAATGGGGAGTGCGTTGGAGACGTTGTGCGGACAAGCATATGGAGCAGGACAGATTAGGATGCTTGGAATATATATGCAGCGTTCGTGGGTCATTCTCTTTACCACTGCTTTATGTTTGCTTCCGGTCTACATTTGGGCTCATCCTATTCTTTCCTTCTTCGGCGAAGCTCCTCACATCTCGAAAGCCGCAGGTATCTGATATGAGCTAAAAGCCTTGCTTTATCTCGTTTAATCGGACCGGTATCATCTGTCGCTATAGTGAAAACGAGAAGAGAAATTGAACTTTAAAGCTTTCTCTTAACCATAGTTTCTCTGGGAGATTAAGGTTAATTCTTCAAGTTCAAGTTGATTTTTTATTGATCATAAGAAATCTTTATATAGGAAGGCAAAAAAGAAACATTTAAAACTAGTTAAAAAGGAAAACATCAAAACCAAATGTTAAAAGAAAATTCATCAAAATTCATATTTTAAACCCATATATCGTATCAGTATCATTTTCATTATTAATTTTGCCAACTTAGTTTGGAGATGAAATTCTACGTGCTAACTTTTTCAAGTTTAACTTTACAGGGAAATTCGCGTTGTGGATGATTCCACAAGTATTTGCCTATTCAGCCAACTTCCCGATACAGAAGTTCTTGCAGTCGCAGGGGAAAGTACTTGTGATCGCTTGGATTTCCGGGGTGGTTCTTATTATACACACAGTCTTCAGCTGGCTCTTGATCCTTTACTTTAAGTGGGGACTTGTAGGTGCAGCCATCACTCTCAACACCTCATGGTGGCTTATTATTATAGGCCAGCTTTTGTATATCTTAATCACCAAATCAGATGGTGCATGGAGTGGATTTTCTTGGCTTGCGTTTCGTGACCTCTACGGATTTGTCAAACTGTCCTTAGCCTCTGCTGTTATGCTCTGGTACCAAATTTTTTCGTTGAATTATTTTTTTTGGGCTAGTAGATAGTTTATGATTTATATAAGTTAAGATTTCGAAATGAATAACCCGTTTGTTCGTTGGATTCTGCAGTTTAGAGCTTTGGTACTTTATGGTTCTGATCGTTGTCACAGGACTCCTACCTAATCCGTTGATACCAGTCGATGCAATTTCCATTTGGTAACTGATTTTTGCTGGTCTACTGAAAATATATATTTTTTGTTAAGGAAATATTTAAAAAATGTTATGGACTTTCACAGCATGAACATAGAATGTTGGACTGCCATGATTTCAATCGGGTTTAATTCTGCGATAAGGTAACATTTCTACAATTTTGTTTCACTGAAGTTCTCTAGAGGATAGAGCAAGATAAGAACCTAATGAAACTCTCTTGGTGTGATCAGCGTGAGGGTATCGAATGAGCTAGGTGCTGGAAATGCATATCTAGCGAAATTATCTGTGATAGTTGTCTCCATAACTTCAACTCTCATCGGGGTTGTGTGCATGATTGTTGTCTTAGCCACAAGAGATAGCTTCCCTCATCTATTCACTACTAGCGAAGCTGTGGCAGCGGAAACCACGAGAATAGCCGTCTTGTTGGGCTTCACTGTCCTTTTGAACAGCCTCCAGCCTGTCTTGTCAGGTACCTCATGGGAAAAATTGTGGCAGAAAATAAAAATAATCAAAACGCAATATAGGATCAGAAAAACACTGAGTCTTGGTCACTTTTGGTACATCTTTTTAGGGGTTGCGGTTGGAGCCGGGTGGCAGTCTCTGGTGGCATACGTGAACATTGCGTGCTATTACATAATCGGACTTCCTGCTGGTCTTGTTCTTGGATTCACACTAAACCTCGGCGTTCAGGTTAGCTTGCTGGTTACTATCAACACGATAAACCCATCGAATTCTAGGAGAGTTGGATATAACCCCGATATGCATGCTTCCAACTACAAAAATCCATTTGGTAGGGTTGGACACTAACAATATAAAATTATAGCCAAAAGCGCGAAGATTAATAATTTTTTTTTTCAAAAAGAATAATTTAATATATAAATTAAAATTAATTCAGTCAACTAAAAATGAAACTTCAGAATATTATTGGTCACACATTATTCAATAAATTTCAAAAATGTATTGAAATGTGAGAAAAACTTATATTTTGAGACAACAAAAAAATATCTAAACAATGAAACAGAGGGAGTACTGAACAACCCCATTTGGTTTCTTATGATAGGTTTGTTCAATATAGAATTATTGTTACTGTTCTGTTCGATTCAGTTTTTCTATCCACCCGGGTAGAAGTGATTTGTATTTGAATTGTTGTCTTTCATATTTGGTGCTAATTCATTTGTAAATTTGTAGGGAATATGGGGAGGTATGGTAGCTGGAGTCTGCTTACAGACACTTATATTGCTTGGAATCATCTACTACACTAACTGGAACAAAGAGGTTTCTTACTATTTTTCTCTACATCATCTTAATGCTATGTTCCTCCTCTGTGTTTGGTTTGATCACTTCTTCAACTTTGAATTCGGCAGGCTGAGCAAGCCGAGAGTCGGGTTCAGAGATGGGGAGGAACGGCGCAGGAGCTATGATTTACTCTCGTTGGACGAGGATCATGAATTTGTTGATTATTTGTTAATGTTCAATGTTTTAAGCAGGTTATTATTCCAAAGAACAATTTCATCTCTCTTTTTGTTTGTTCGATATGCCTAAAGTTTAATGAATCTCTCTGTGATTGGTGGAGAGGATTTGTTGTTCTAGTCTTATCGTAGGGCCTAAGATGGTTACCAAGTCAAATGTTTTAAAAAGTTTTGTTTAAATAAAAATCCAACGATGCCTTGTTTAGTAGACATGAACTGGCAAAATGCAATGTTTTTTGAAGAGCGTTTTTTCATCTCATTTTGTTTTTCTATTAAAAATTTACAAAAATGCGATGCCACGTAAATCAAGAAACCTATTTAGTACTGCATAGGGAAGAAGAGAGATTCAACATTCTTAATCGTAAGGCTTAATTTTCTCTGTGTCACCACCTAATGGATCGGCCTTCGATGACGAGTAAATTAAAAGAGAGAACAAGAAGCGCAACAACACAATCCTGAAATCTAGCTTATGTTGGTGTTAGACCACCTCTATTAGAAGCTCTTAGAGCAGGTCCAATGCGGATTCAAGCGGGTTCATAAGTGGGGTTTATAACCCATTTTAGATTAAAAATAAATAATAAAGCTCAAAATTCATTTGAATCGCCCCTTCCGGAAGAGTTTTTAAAGCCGGTTCAAAAAGAGATTCATAAAATACGTGGCACACTCTTATTCGTCCAGAAAAAAAAAATTTGTCACGACAATTTTTTGCAAAAGACTTCGACCATATCGAAATTTCATTTCATTTCTTTGGGAAGTCGACATATTTCCCCCACTAAACTTTGATATCAGCGCAGATCCACCTCAAGTTTAAAAGTCAACATATATCTCCCTAGTTAGAAAGTTCTTAACATAATTCTCCCCAAATTAAAATTTCGCATCATATTTCCCCATATAGGTCGATTTCGATGGTTTGAGAGGGTAACCCGATACAAAACCACCAAACCTGCTTACACCGGTTATCAAACCGAAATTAATATCCGACCCAAAAACAATTCCGACCCACACAAACCCGACCCAATACGATTTTAAATGAAAAAACCCCAATTTTTTGCAAGAACCCTAATTTTTTTGCTGGGTAATTTCGATCTTAACTCTCTGATTTGAGAAGGCGATTTGAGTGTCAAGATGAGTAATACTTCTGGAGATTCGATGTGTGAGCCAAAACTCGCACAACCAAAGATTTGTAAGGAAAGCTAAGGGATCGGAAACTTCTAGAGTTTATCGCCAAAAACAGTAAGATCAAAAGAAAGCTTTTCTTGCTGTAAAAGTGTTTAGCTCTTATTGCTTAGGGTTGCAAAAGTTGGCGGAATGAATTGCATACATCATATATTTATACTGACTTTCTAAACCGCCTAGCCGAAAATCTCGGGCGAGATTTTCGGAATATTTCCTTATCGCCTCGTGCGGCTGACCACCTTTGCATCTCGCCTAGGGTTTTCCATGGGCTTCACCTCTCAAGGCTTCGGTTCGGCCCATCCATGCTTCTTTACGGCTCGACCCATATTGCCTTTGTTACGGCTCGGCCCACCTAACCTCTCCACGGCTCGGCCTGCTTGATATGATTCACTCCACCTCACCGCGGCTCGGCCCAGATATGTAAAACAGGGGCTCGGTCCATTTTCTGTAATACGGCTCGGCCCATCTCTCCTTCTTCTCGGCTCTCCCACTTGGTGATCGCGGCTCTCCCGCTTGTCTTGGTGGAAAACGGCTCTCCTTCTTGCCTTGGTGAGAACGGCTCTCCCATTTGATGGTCACGGCTCTCCCACTTTCTATACTTAGTCATTTTGGGATGGCTTTATCTGTGCGGGGTGAAAACCGACCCCAACAGTTAGCCCCCCAGCTCGTCAATCTCGGAGTCGAGAATGACGAGGTACCTTGCTCCTGACCGCAAGATAAACCATCGAGCCGAGCTGTTACGACGTAAGCCCGGATAAAGCGTTTTGGGAGTGCAAACGCCGAGGTGTTTCCAAGGAGTGCCGAGGATGCCGAGGCGAATCAGGGACGAAGCGATTTTGTTTTTAGCAATGATGAGCCGTGGCGAAGCGATCTGATGGTGGTTATGCCGAGCCGAATAAACGGCTAGGCGTTTCGAGAGAAAGTTCGTGCTGAGCCGTGTTGTTAACGACGAGGCGTTTCAAGAGCAAGAGTTAATGCCGAGCCGTTTTGTTTAACGACGAGGCGTTTCGAGAGAGAAAGATAATGCCGAGCCGTTTCGTTTAACGACGAGGCGTTTCGAGAGAGATAGATAATGCTGAGCCGTTTCGTTTAACGACGAGGCGTTTCGAGAGAGATAGATAATGCCGAGCCGTTTCATTTAACGACGAAGCGTTTCGAGAGAGAAAGATAATGCCGAGCCGTTTCATTTAACGACGAGGCGTTTCGAGAGAGAAAGATAATGCCGAGCCATTTCGTTTAACGACGAGGCGTTTCAAGAGAGAAAGATAATGCCGAGCCGTTTCATTTAACGACGAGGCGTTTCGAGAGAGAAAGATAATGCCGAGCCGTTTCGTTTAACGACGAGGCGTTTCGAGAGAGATAGATAATGCCAAGCCGTTTCGTTTAACGACGAGGCGTTTCGAGAGAGATAGATAATGCCGAGCTGTTTCGTTAAACGACGAGGCGATTCGAGAGAGAAAAGGTCAATACCAAGTCGTTTTGTTAACCTGGGTACCCTGACTGTTGGTCTTCCGAGAGGAAATTCCTGATCTTTCGGCGCGTGCCAACGACGCAGCCCGGTATGACCAATTCACCGCGGATCCCACGCGCTGTTGGGTGGCTTCCCGAGGTTCACGCGGAATTCACGCGCTTCGTTTTTCTAGAAATAGGTGAGCTCCTTCACACTTCCTCATTATTTCCCGACTCACTCGTTTTCACTAAAGGTAGCTCTCCCTTCTCTCTTCTTTCTCTCTCTAGTTTATTTATTTTCCGGCTAGGGTTTCTGAGGTCTCCGCCGTTCCAGATCTTTTTCCGGCAGAGGCTCGCCGAGTCGCGCTGTAATTCTTTGTAAAAGTCGTAAATTATGTCGAGCCGTTCTGACGATTCGTTGGATCCGCTTTTTCACTACGGGCCGAGCCGTATAGACGCCGAGGCGAGAGGCACGGTGGAATCCTCCGAGGCGTCTGCTTCGCCGAGCCCTTCCAATCACTCATCTGACGAAGCATCAAACGATGAAAACCTATCAGATGTCGGCTCTCCGGATGGCGAGCCATCGGTTTCGACGAGCCGTCCCCAGGATCCCGTTCCTAACGAGGACATTAACCGCGCCGCGCTCAAGGCCGAGGAGGAGGCATTTCCCTTCGATCTTTTCGAGGCGAAGCTTGAATTGGAACGCCTCATGGCGTCCCGAGGTGCTTCCACATCTGGGCGAGGGCCGAGAGACAAAAACCCGACCCGCCTGGATCTACACTCTGCTCCCTTGAGTCGCTCGAGGCGTTGAGGCATCGCTTCGGAATATCCGAGGCGGTGGAGTTCGTCGTTCCGGAGAAGAGCGACCGAGCCGACAACCCTCCCGAGAAACATTTCACTCTGTACGAGGCGTTCTTCGAGCTTTGATTCCTCTGGTTCCCGATCCGCGGAGTGATCCTCGAATACCTTTGGAAACACGGGATCTCGATTGGGCAGATTATGCCGAGGGGATTACGGCATATGATTGGCATTTTAGTACGAAGCTTCGAATGCGGTCTCGACATCGAGCTGAATCACCTGCTGAACTTGCTGGAAATCAGGAAAGCTCCAAAAGGAATTAGGTCCTATATTTCCAACAAGGCGAAGCGACGGATCATTGGCGGTTTCCCCAGCAAGGATCAGTTTTGGACCGAACGCTTCTTCTACGTCTTGGTGAACGAGGCGTCGGTCGGCGAAGATTACGTTCACCGAACCAAGACAGCTTGGGGACCACTTGGTAGCCGACCCGAAGCTTTGCCTCGGCTCGGAGATTCAGTTGCTATTCTCTTCCTTTTCTGAGACTTTTGCTTTTTGCTTTGTTTTGCTGTTCGGTGCTATCTTCCTCCGATTCCCGACGACCTTTTTACTGTTCGAGACTCTCTTTCGGCGCGGAAAGTTAATTGGAGAAAGAACTTCTCCCTCGAAAGAGTAGAGAAAGCGCGAGCCATCCTTGCCGGAGTCCCTGTTAGCTCTTCATCCTCCAGTTCTTCAAGGGATACTCGAGAGAAGATGGTGATAATCGCTCTTAAGGAGAGGAAGAGGCGTGAAGCGGAAGAGGCCGCGAGACGAGCTGCCGAGGCGGCTCAGGCGCAGACCGAGGCGGTCTCGGCGCATACCGAGGCCATTCCTCAACCCGACCCACCGAGCCGGGAAGGAGATCAAACGACCCGAGCCGCAGAAGACTGCACAGCCGAAGTGGTCGAAAGAAATGCGGTGCCCGAGGTGGAACCGGGCGAAATTGTTCCTGAGGCGTCCGGGGGCGATTCGGCGGCTCGGAGCAAAGAGCCTTCGAACTCTGTTATTATAGCCCTCCCGAAGTCGACAAGGCCCCCGACTTCCGTTGTTCAGAAACATGATCCGAGCCGAAAACGTTCGGCTGCTGATAAAGGGAAGGGGGTCGCTGTTCAGAGGGACGAGCCGTCCAAGAAGAGGCGGAAGCCGACGCCCGGGGACTCCGCTGCGTGCAAGTTGGTCGTTGACGACCCCGACGCCTCCGCCATCATGTTCTCGCGTGTAAATAACGCGAACACGCGTCTTCCTCCTCCGGAGAAGAGGAGGCCGAGGTCTTACGGTGCAATGGCGCAGCGCGGGACCAAGGTACGTTCCATTTTGCTTTCCTTTTTTTTCGTGAATTTTTGCTAAGTGTCTAACACGAGTTTGTTCTCTGCAGTTTGTTGCGGCCATTAACGACCTAATGGCCGAGTATGAGGCGGACCTGTCTAAGGTCGAACGTCGTTTTGCCGATGCCAAAACTGAGTCCGCAGCGTCAAAGACGAAGCTAGAAGAGGCTCAGACCGAAGCCACGGCGGCGAAGGAGAAACTGGGCGAGGCGGTGGCCAGGGCATCCAAGCTTGAAGAGGAGAAGATCGTTCTGCGTGCCAACGTTGACAAGGTCTCCGCCTCGGTCATTCGTCTCGAGGAGGCGAGGAGGGCCAAGAGCGCCAAGGTGGCGATGCTGAAGAGGCGTATTAAGGCCAAGGACGCCCTGTTTGATGCCAAGGTTAAGAGGGCAAAAAAGGACGCGAGGCGAGAGCTCACGGTGAAGTTTCAAGAACGCCTCGCCAAGGTAGAGGAGGGTTTGGCTAGGCTTGAAAAAGCCAAAAATGATGAGAACGATCTGGGGCAGATCAAGGGCAATCTTGCGATGATTGCCGATCTGAAGAAACCAGACGCCCCGACGCTTGACGACGAGGAGGCGAAGCTGAAGAGCTGGGAAAGCGAGTATGCCGACGACGAGGCGTACGAGCGCATTGCTTCCGAGATTCGGGGCGAGCTGTACTACTCTCCCGTATCGCCGGACTCGGTCGACACCACCCTCGGCAACGAGCCGCTCGAAGAGACAGCGGCCAACTTAGGCGTGGTAGATCCGAACGGATCAAACGCGGGCACGCCAGTCCTCTCGAACCTCACCAAACGTGAGACGCAGTCCGCGGCCTGATTCCCTCTGCTTTTCCCTGTTTCGTTTTTAATGCTTTTGTACTTAGGTTTTTTGTACGTTTTTTGAATTCTCTTTTTTGTAACCGATGCCTGGACGGCTTTATCCACCCGACATTTATTTTTGCTTTAATGGATACATTTTCTCCTTTAGCTGTTTTTTGTTTGGATGCACTTATTTTCAATGACTTGTGCAAATATCTGTGAAAGATTGTGAAGAATGATTTGATTGCTTCCTTAGCCGAAATTTTTGGAATTGATGGAAATACGGGCTAAGGGATGAGTTGTTTTTAAGGATTTCGTTTGGATTCTCAATCCCGAGCTGGGAGTTAGTTTTGTGGAGTGTCTTTTAGATGATGCTGGCTAGTTTTTAAGTGATAGTATCGAGGCAAATTTTTGCTGGAAATGCCGAGCCGTATTTAACGACGAGGCGTTTTCGCTGTGCATGGTGCCGAGCCGTGTAAACGACGAGTCGTTTTCTTTTTGCGTGGTGCCGAGCCGTGCAAACGACGAGGCGTTTTCTTTTTGCGTGGTGCCGAGCCGTGCAAACGACGAGGCGTTTTCTCTTTGCGTGGTGCCGAGCCGTGTAAACGACGAGGCGTTTTGTTTTCGTTAGCCAAGGATGATTTGGTAGTCTCATTGAATTTTACTATAGACCGGCATTTCCGAGAGGATGAGTATGTTTGTCCGGGTTTTTAAGAGTTTACTTCGGTTTTAGAGAAAGCGATGTAGTCTCGACTTATAATCTCGTGTGCGATAGTAAACCGTGGCGACCTGATACGTTTTTGGTCTGATATTTGTATAGCGCGCTTAATTTTTATCCGTAGAGGATGTAACTTGCACCGTCGTCCTAGGAAAGGTGGTAAAAGTCCGTTTAGAGAACTTTGTATTTGTTGCCCCGTTGTGGCCAGCAACGAGGCGAGGAGTTCGGAGGCTTAGTTTGCCGAACTAAAACTGAGGACCGATTACGGTCCGAGGTAACTAGGTCATGATATTATGCCGAAGTGGTATTTAGTCGCCGAAGTGATGGGTGAAAAATTTAAAAATCCGAACTCGTTAAAATAAGTTACTGATTAAAAAGGATGAGAAACTAGTCGAAGCGATAATGAACGAACTAGAAATCAGAGGTAGACGTGAAATGAGTAGATGACAAGCCGAACCGAAGTGGCGACGTTCCTAAGTGAGCAAGTTAAAATTGTAGAATTAAAGGAGGTATGTGTATACGTACCCACTCCCCCCCCCCTTTTTAGGAGGGGGGACAGCTGAACCCGTCCGAAGACGGGCTGCCTACGTACCCTTTGCAGGGATCAAGCCGTCCCGTAGTTCATGCTGGTCATGCTGTATCCTTAGTGATAGTATTTCTTCAGATGCATTATGTTCCATGATCTTGGAATCGCCTCGTCAGCTAGTGTCGCGAGTTCGTAGACTCCTGGACGAACCACTTTTGTGATTTTGTAAGGACCTTCCCAATTTGCTCCGAGCTTTCCTGCGTTCTTCTCGGCAGTGTTTTGGAAGACCTTTCGGAGGATGAGCTCCCCTGCTTTGAATCTTTGGCTACGAACGTTTTTGTTGTAGTACCGCGCTGTTGCTTGCTGATAGTTCTAACATCATTAAGTGGTTTAAGCCCTCCTGTCCTGGTAGGAGTCTTCGTCGAATACCTGGGAAATCCACCTCAGGGGGAATTACGCACTCCGATCCGTAGACCAGAGCGAATGGAGTTTCCCCGGTGGCTCGGCGCGGAGTTGTCCGATGAGACCAAAGGACTCCTTCGAGTTCGTCTGCCCATCGTCCCTTCTTGGCGTCGAGCCTCTTTTTAAGACCGTCGAGGATTGTCTTGTTGGCTGCTTCGGCTTGTCCGTTCCCTTGAGGGTATCTTGGCGTAGATTTGCTGAGGCGGATTTTCCACTTCTCGCAGAAGGCTTCGAAGCGTGTTGAGATGAATTGGGATCCGTTGTCGGTGACTATCTCGTAAGGGACCCCGTGTCGGCAGATTATATTTTTCCAGACGAAGTGTTCGACTTGAACATCTTTTATGCTTGCGTAAGAATCGGCCTCGACCCACTTGGAGAAGTAATCCGTGAGGACGAGCAGAAAACGCTTCTGCTTTGAGCAATGTAGAGGTCCGACGATGTCCATCGACCATCTCATGAATGGATAAGGCGACGAAATTGACGAGAACAACTCGGTAGGTTGGTGAATTGTTGGAGCGTGCCGCTGACACTTCTCGCATTTTGCCGTAAATTTCTCGCAGTCCTTGACCATCGTAGGCCAGAAGTAGCCGTGCCGTTTTATCTTGATAGCAAGCGACCTTCCGCTGGAGTGGTTACCGCACGCGCCGCTGTGCACCTCGTGCATGATCTTTCTTGCTTCCGGTCCTTGGACGCATGTCATGAGAGGCCCTGAAAATCTCCATTTAAACACCTCGCCATCGACGAGGACATAACGTGCAGCCTGAGCTTTTAGCTTGCGGGCTTCCCATTTGTCAGTTGGCACCTCTCCATCGGCGATGTACATTCGGATAGCTCCGAGCCATTCTTTGTTGCAGCCGTATTCCGGCTCAGCTGGTGAGGCGTCTTCTTCCATTGGAATGGCTTCGTCTTCCTCTGGTTCTTGTTCAGGAGGGTTTATCAGCCGAACTCCTTCCACCTCTTCGATGCTAGGGCGTTCGATGAATTCAACTGGGATCGTTCGTCGGAGGTCTGGGTCCGAGGTCGAAGCGAGTGCTGCTAAGGCGTCAGCCGAGGTGTTTTCTCCTCGGGGAATGTGAGTGAGTTCGAACTCATCAAACTTTTGCACCAACTCTCGGACCACTTTGAGGTAAGCTCCCATACGTCCATCCTTCGCCTCGTATTCTTCGTTGAACTGACATGCTACGAGCTGTGAATCGCAAAAGGTTCTTATCTTTCGAACTCCGATTCCCTGTGCCAGCCGTATGCCGGCGATCAGTGCTTCGTATTCCGCTTCGTTGTTCGAGGCGTGGAAGTTCAGGCGAAAAGACTGCTCAAGTATTTCTCCGGTGGGAGAGGTGAGGCGGATTCCTATTCCCGAGCCATGTTTAGATGACGAGCCGTCGACGTGCAATGTCCATACTTCGTCTAGAGTTGGCTCGTTTGTTGCTTCGGCCGGGAGTTCAATGAGAAAATCAGCGAGCACTTGTGATTTTGCAGACAACCTATTTCGATACTCGATGTCGTATTCGCTCAGCTTTATGGCCCACTTGGCGAGCCGACCGGATTGGCTCGGGCTGTGCAGGATTGAGCGCAGCGGAAGTGTGGCGATCACAACAATCGAATGCGATTGAAAGTATGGGCGCAACTTGCGAGCCGAGACTACGACGGCTAGGGCGACCTTCTCGATCTGGGGGTAGCGGGTCTCGGCGTCGGTCAGTGTCTGGCTGATGTAGAAAATGGGTTTTTGCTCGGATCGTTCTTCTCTGATTAGTACCCCCACTTACAGCTGTAGCAGACACCGCGATGTAGAGGAAGAGCGGCTCTCCTTCGACCGGTTTTGCTAAGATTGGTGGGCTTGCCAGATAAGTCTTCAATTCCTGGAAAGCCGTCTCGCATCGTTCGTCCCATTCAAATTTCTTGTTAGTCTGAGGGTGTCGTAGAAGGGCAGGCATTTGTCCGTGGAACGGGAAATAAACCTGTTTAGCGCGGCGACTCTTCCTGTTAGCCTTTGTACTTCACGCTTCGTCCTTGGAGAGGGCATCTCAATTAACGCCTTAATCTGTTTAGGATTCGCTTCTATGCCCCGGTGGGTTACCAGATAGCCAAGGAATTCTCCCGAGGTGACCGCGAACCTGTATTTCGCCGGGTTTAGCTTCATGTTGTGCTTGTTCAGCTGTTCGAAACATTCTTGTAGGTGCGCGACGTGGTCTTTCTCCTCGAGTGACTTGACTAACATATCGTCGATGTATACCTCCATAGTTTTTCCGAGCTGAGCCGCAAACATTTTGTTGACGAGCCGTTGATACGTTGCTCCTGCGTTCTTGAGCCCGAATGGCATGACTTTGTAGCAATATATCTCGCGGTCGGTTATGAATGCCGTTTTTTCCCGATCATCAGGATGCATCAGGATCTGATTGTAGCCGGAGAACGCGTCCATAAACGTTAACAGTCTATTCCCTGCAGTGGCTTCGACGAGCCGGTCGATGTGTGGCAGGGGAAAGCTGTCTTTTGGGCACGCCTTGTTGAGGTCGGTGAAATCCACACAGACCCGCCACTTGCCGTTCTTCTTCTTTACAACCACCGGGTTTGCAAGCCAGTCCGGATATTTGGCCTCGGCGATTGATCCTACCTTGAGTAATCTCTCGACTTCGTCGTTGACTGCTTTAGCTCGTTCTGGACCAAGCTTTCTTCTTTTCTGCTTGACTGGTTTAAAGGTCGGATCTACATTCAGCTCGTGACAGGTTACATCGATGCTGATGCCTGGCATATCTTCCGCCGTCCAGGCAAAGGTATCGATGTTTTCCTTGAGGAGGGAAAGGAGCTTGTTTCTCAGGGGCTCTCCTAGTTGTGTTCCAATTTCGACGCACCGTTCCGGATGCGCCTCGTCTATGCACACCGAGTCCACTGCGTCACATATCGGCTCGGTGCGTGTTTCGCGGCTCTCCGCGATCTGTAATTGCTATAAGAGTTTGGAGAGCTCGTTTGCGGGCTCTCTGTCTGTTTTCATCTTTTTGCGGTCTATGTCGGCTCGTGCGTTGGTGACGGGGTTCCTCAGTTTGTGCTCGGCTAGGCAGCACATTCGCGACTCCTTCTGATTCCCCCAGATCGTTTTGACGCCCGATGGAGTTGGGAATTTGAGGCAGAGATGATAAGTGGAGGGTACTGCCCGCATCCCGTTGATCCAGGGAGTTCCCATGATCACATTGTAGATTGCTGGGTGATCTGTGACGCAGAATTCGACGATCTTAGTGACTCCGCCAGCTACCACGGGAAGTCTGAGCGTTCCCATAGTCATCGTCGTTTCTCCTGAAAATCCGGTTAGAGGTTTGGGGATTGCTTCCACCTCGGAGAGGTCGATTCCCATTCTTCTGAGTGTTTCCCTGAAGATGACATTCACCGAGCTTCCAGTATCGATGAGCACCCTTGCTACATCATGATCCCTGATCGTTAGCTCAATCACCAACGGATCGTTGTGAGGTCGATCGATTCCTGTCGTTTCCTCCTTGGCGAAAGAGATCACTGTGTTTGGGATGTCGGTTGGCTCTATCCAATTCTCCTTCGCTTCGGCTCGACGCTGATAGGCTTTGATGGAGGACATGGTATCTTGGTAGTATTGAGATCTGCCCATGATCATATTGATCCTTTGCCTCGGCTCGGGTCGCTCTTCGGGTTCGCCTCTCCTGTCGCGCTTGGGATTATCGCCTCGTCGAGGAGGATTCGCTGGTTCCGCCGCGCCGCTCGGCTCGGCTTTTTCTTGTTGTTCGTTAGGGACGAGGTCTTTGAGGCTGACCGCGTTTTGGAGCTCTCCTGCTGCCATTTTTGCTGCGAGCTTTGCTCCTAGAATTCGGCATTGAGCCGTTGAGTGTCCATAGGTCTGGTGATACTCGCAGAAAGCCTTCTCGTCGTAGTTGGCGGACTTTCTCACCCAAGTGTTGTTGCGCGGCTCTCCTCTTCCGCGTCCGGAGCTGACCTGGTAGTTATGGGCACCTCCGCTCCTAGGTTCATCCGAACTCTGCGTTGTCGAATTGCTCGATGGATTGCCCTTCTTCGCGGGGCGCGACAAAATTGAGCTTCGAATCGCTGCTTTCGTGGCTTCGTACTGCTCGTCCAAGTTTTTCATTTCCTCCTCGTTTACGACGAAGTCTGATGATCGGTGCAACGCGTCTTGAATCGTTTGCGGCGTATTAAGAGCCATTTCCCGGCGAAACTCGGATTTGTACCACAAAGATCGTTTTAGAGCCTCGAGCGCAGATTTGTCGCTTATCCCTTCTATTTTGGATATGACTGCTTTGAATCGTGCCATATAATCCCGAAGCGGTTCGTTCGGTCCTTGGGATAGTGTCCACAGATCGGCATCAGATGTTCCTCTGTCCATAAACATCGAGTATTGTTTAAGGAACAAAGCGGAGAGCTGTTGGAAATTGCCGATCGAATTTCGTTCCTGCCTTGAGAACCACTCGAGTGCGGCTCCCTTGAGATGCTCCACGAAGAGCAGGCAGTATCCGGCGTCTACTTCGCGCTCGGTGAGTTTAACGGCGTTCTTTGTGAAGGCTCGTCCCATTGCTATCCGAAACGCTGTGATGTGTGCTTTCGGGTCGGTTGTTCCTTCGTAGAACGGGATTCTCATCTTCCCCGGCTCGGGAATCCTGGCTTCCGTGATTCTTGCAGTGAACGGGGTTCTTTGAGTTTCTTCAAGCATTCGGTCGATTTCGGGTGCGGCACTTGTCGCGTTGTGCACTTGAGATTTCATGGCTCGTATTTCAGCCACTGTCCGAGCCATAGAGGCTCGCAGCTCTTTGAGCTCGAGATTTTGTGCGTGAGTCATTCCTTTTGATTTGGGGGGTCGCTCCCGCTCCTCTCGCATTGGCTCGTCTTCGCGTTCTTCCTGCTCGTTCCATTGGGGATTTTCTTCCACTTCGATTGGGTTATCGCCGCGGGTCGGATCGGAGACTTCGTCAGTCCGGATGCCGTTTAGTGCCGAGGCGAGTTCTTCTTGACTAATTCGGCGAGCCGAGCCAGTTTGTTGCGGATTTATGGTCTCGTCGTCTTGCTGGGCATCTATGTCGATCGCATCGTCCTCTTCCTCACCGGCTCGTTGCCTGGAGTTCCGGCGTAGTGGAGGCGGCTCAGTCATGTTGATTCGGGTTGCTGCGGGAGTGCGTTCGTCAAGGGGACGAAGAAACGAGGAATTTCTTGCACCACTCCCCGAGGCTTCTGCGGGTGTCGAGAAATCGAAGCGTTTCCGAATCCCGTCCATCGGGTCGGGAATTCCGGCTCTCCGAGTCGAGTGTTGTTGCTCTGCCGCCATTGCGTCAAGCCTCGCCGTAAACGCCTCGTTTCTTTTGTCTTGGTCGTCAATTTTTTTCATCAACGCAGCTATCATGTATCGCATCTCCTCTTGGGTTTCGGTCGTCGCCGTCGTTGTGCCTGATCCTGGAGCGTCCTTCTCCGCGCCGTTACCGGTGTTGTTGTTATCATCGTTAGCGTTGCTCGCCATGTTCTTTGGATCTTAAAGCCTTGTCGATTTAGAGTAAGAAAGTTTCGTTTCCCCACAGACGGCGCCAAATTGTGTGAGCCAAAACTCGCACAACCAAAGATTTGTAAGGAAAGCTAAGGGATCGGAAACTTCTAGGGTTTATCGCCAAAAACAGTAAGATCAAAAGAAAGCTTTTCTTGCTGTAAAAGTGTTTAGCTCTTATTGCTTAGGGTTGCAAAAGTTGGCGGAATGAATTGCATACATCATATATTTATACTGACTTTCTAAACCGCCTAGCCGAAAATCTCAGGCGAGATTTTCGGAATATTTCCTTATCGCCTCGTGCGGCTGACCACCTTTGCATCTCGCCTAGGGTTTTCCATGGGTTTCACCTCTCAAGGCTTCAGTTCGGCCCATCCATGCTTCTTAACGGCTCGGCCCATATTGCCTTTGTTACGGCTCGGCCCACCTAACCTCTCCACGGCTCGGCCTGCTTGATATGATTCACTCCACTTCACCGCGGCTCGGCCCAGATATGTAAAACAGGGGCTCGGTCCATTTTCTGTAATACGGCTCGGCCCATCTCTCCTTCTTCTCGGCTCTCCCACTTGGTGATCGCGGCTCTCCCGCTTGTCTTGGTGGAAAACGGCTCTCCTTCTTGCCTTGGTGAGAACGGCTCTCCCATTTGATGGTCACGGCTCTCCCACTTTCTATACTTAGTCATTTTGGGATGGCTTTATCTGTGCGGGGTGAAAACCGACCCCAACATTCGACTGGGACTTCATTTATCCGTGGAAGAGGACGATTTTCGAGAGTCCTGAAGAAATGTTGGTGTGGAGAAGCAATTGTGTCGAAAATCTCAAAATCTGATGCGAATCGGTACAGGAGATACTTCAGGTGTGCTGCTGCTGTACAACAAAAGGTATGCTTTTGCCATCTCTTATCTGTCATTGTTAATATCACTTAAGTGTGATTCTCATTGGATTGTCATATTTTCGAATTTGTGTAGCTTATCAATGATAATCATACATTCATGTGGGTTGATGAGGCTGTGTTGAATGAGTTAGAAGCATTAGTGCTTAGAACTGAGAGACTTGAACAAGAGGTGAGACAAAATTCAATGGAGGCCGATGATGAGAAGGGTAAAAAGCTTCATATGAAGATAGAGAAAGAGATCTGCGAAAGAGTGGAAGAAGTGCTACTTGAAGCTAAAACCGAGATGAAGAGAATGTTGTTCCTTGTGTGTCTAGGATGTGTGATTATCTTAGGTTGTAGTAAGGTATTAGGTTGAGTCCTTGTTTGTGTCTGTTGTGTGTCATTGTTAGACTATGTTCTCTTGTGTATTTTGATCAGACGATAATGGTCATTGTGTGTCATTGTCCTTCTTTGTGTCTGTTGTGTGTCATTGTCGAGACTGTGTTCTCTTGTGTGTTTTGATCAGACGATATGGTCATTGTGTGTCATTGTCCTTGTTTTTGTTTGGTTGCTTGATGCTTGACATTGCCTATTTTCTGGTTATGTGAGAATGATCATCAAGGCATGAATTTATTCCTTAAAATGTTCAGCTGGAGAGTGTTGCTTTTAGATAGCCGCAAATGCAAGTAAAAGAATCAAATGAAATAGCGGATTTGAAAAGAAGAAAATGCAAAAGAAGATAAAAAAGGAAGAGATGTCTCAAAAGATCAAATACAGCCTTAAAGTAGATTACAATTGAAATTGGTCCAAAAAAACTTGCATAAAACAACTAAGATAATTGTTCAAAACGCTAAAAAAACAGAAACTGGTCCAAAAGACAGCCTACAGCTATACTAAAACAGGTCCAAAGAACTTTGGAACGCAAAAGAGTAGACTCCTTGTCAAGGTCCAAATAGCCGCAACCAGAAGCATTAATCAACTTGGGTGAGAACTCCTTGTGAAGATTCAACTTGTGATGATGATGCTTCAACTAAAGCCTGTAATATCAAAGAATAGTGTTCCATAATCAATAAAATAGAGAACAAGCAGATGATGTCAAGAAAGAAAGAAGAATACACAAACCTGAGATGGTTTTTGCTTCTTATTTTGGAATCGTGAGTTATGATTAGCAGCTCCACAAACCTTGCAATGCATTACGCTTCTCACTAAATTGTTTTTTTCTTCGTTGAACATCCATCGACTATAGCTAAAAACATCTTATTGGTAGAAGGTTGGACAATGCATCCTTTAGCTTTCTCATTCTGTTCCGCCAAATACTTACTCACATATGGAGTTGTTAAGCCTTGATGGCCATCGGCTTTAGCTTCTCTTTTGGCTATACGAACCATTGCAAGTCTTGCAATAGTCTCCAACATTGGCACTAAAGCCTTGTCTCTGGCTTTACCTGAAAAAAAAAATGTATTGAGCAAAAAAAAAATTAGTAAAAAAGCCATTGCAAATCTTAAAGCCATAAATAGACCTTACCTATGGAGTTGTTGAATGATTCTACAGAGTTGTTTTCCACAACCTCACAATATGGTCCAAGCTTGTAGAATGCTCTGCACCAAGTCTCTGGCTTCGTTTTCATCACATCAGCATATACAGCTTCATCGTAATCCTCAATCTTCTTCAAATTTTCTTTGTACTCTGCCAAGTTATAGCTCCAAGCGAGATGCCAAATCAGTGTCTTCAGCTCTGGCATCTTTCCATGTCGAGACTTCACATTCATGTAAATATGTCTGACACACATTCTATGTTCTATCAAAGGTAGCTCCTCCTTCACAGCAATGAGCAATCCCTACATGCAGCATTAGCATAAAAAAGGTGAGCACAACTATGAAAAATCTAACACAACAAGCCATAAGTAAAATAACATTACCTTTTGACGGTCAGACACCAAAACATATCCATCCCCATCTCCAAGACCTAAGTCAACCTTGATCTTACAAAAGAACCATGCCCAGTTATTTGTGTTTTCCATTTGAACTACAGCCCATGCAATTGGATAAATTCTGTTATCAGCATCTCTCCCATTAGCAGCAAACAACTCACCCTTCTGAACTGATTTCAAGAAGCAGCCATCAACTCCTATAAGAGGCCAACAATTCTCTTTCCATGATCTCCTAAGATTATTGAAACAAACATAAAACCTTTGAAAAACATGGCTTCCTGCCTCGTTTGTTATACAGTCAACCTCCACTAAAGATCCAGGGTTTGAATGCTCTATCTCAGTCGCATAATCACACAGACGTGCGAACTGCTGTGCATACTCCCTCTCAATCCATCTCAATGCTTTGTTCCTAGCATGCTGGCATTGATTTCTTGTCACACATATCCTCCATTTCTCCATAATCAGTTGTTCAATCTTCATTGGCATGAAGTACTCTTCCTCTTCACGGATCTTATCAAGAAATAGTCGAGCAATGACAGTGTCTATTAACATCGCACACTGACCATTCGGAACACAAGTATGAACCGATTCAAAGACTGTTACCTGCCACCTAGTACTATTCTTCGGAACTGAGCAATATATGCGCCATGAACAACCTTTGCCATTACATTCAAACACAACCCTAGTCTTATCATACTTATACTGCGATATATTCCGGCAAGTTCTCAGAGCATGGTTCAAGACAGCTTCCTTAAACGCTATAGCATTCATGAAGAGTTGTCCTTTGAATAAGTTTCCATTACCTCTTCTTATATGATAACGCCTCCTTTCTTTCTGACCTTCATTTTCTTCATCATCATCAGATTTTGGGTATACATTGTGCAGAATAGGAGGCTCGTCTTCGAACTGGGTTAATGCTTCCTCAACTTCATATGCGTTACGCTCACGACGGTCTTCACCATCAGAATCAACATCCGCTGGAATATCTTCCATTACTGACACTGTAGTGCAGAACGATCTACATGAAAACATTGAAACAATGTTACCAAATTTGCAAAATCGAAACACTAAAACAATGTTATCAAATTCCTGAAAATGAAACCACAAAATCGAATTCCCACAACCCAAAATCGAATTTCCAAAGAAGAATACCCAAAATCGAATTCCCAAAGCAGTGAAATAATGTTAACAATATTATCAAATTTCCGAAACATTGAAACAATTAAACTGATTTCCAAAACCCCCAAAATTCAATATTCTAAATCGAATTCCCGAATTTTAATACCAAAATCGATACATTGAAACATTAAAACTGATTCAAAATTTCAAAGTTAAACATACCTTCAACTGAGAAAGTCGTCGAATAGATTGGATTTTTGGATTGTGTGAATCGATTCTAGGGTTTAGATTTGAGGAATTGGGGATTTTGTTTTGTTTCGATTTTGGGGTTTTAGGGTTCAGGTTCGCGGGTCAAGAGTTGAAGCATCGGGTCAAATCCGGTTTGCAGGTCAAATTATGGGTTGAAGGTTTTAATCGGGTCATAATCTGGTTTATAGGTTTTAATCGGGTCATAATCCGGTTTATCGAGATTTTAAATGGTTAAATATTACTTGGTAAAAAGTAAACCGCATTAAATTAGCGATCAGGGGAAAAAATGTTTACAACTTCTTTTGTATGGTGAAATATGATGCGAAATTTTAATTTGGGGAGAATTATGTTGAGAACTTTCTAACTAGGGGGATATATGTTGACTTTTAAGCTTGAGGTGGATCTGCGCTGATATCAAAGTTTAGTGGGGGAAATATGTCGACTTCCCCATTTCTTTCTATCTCCTTCGTCTTCTTCACCGGCGATCTCTTTGCCAAAACCCAGAATCGTCGAGAGCTGATCCTTTGTTTGAAAGCAAGTTCGATTCTCGAATCTCTAGTCGCGTCGTTGAAGGTATGTACTCGTGATTAAGTTTCAGCTGATTCGGGGTTTTTTGTATATTGGATTAAGTTTCAAGACTTTCAACCATGTACAAGTGGTAATCCAGAATATCAGAATGGCTAAACAAAGCACAGTCGGAGATGTTATAAATGAACTTAAAACAAATGATCAATCCACTGAAATTGAAGACATCTTTCAGTATGTTCGCAACAAGCATCCTGAAATCATGCTTGGAATCAACAAATTCTTCACTGATCCTAAATACTGATAAACATTTTCAAGACCCTTCGCATCACTTTTCTTGTTTCTGTTTTTTTGTCAAAGGCATCGGTTTTCTTGTTATTGTTTTCTGGAATTGAATCTTCTCAGATATTTCCATGTGATATAAACCACATTTGTCGACATTGTGATGTTATCCTCCAGCGGAGAGAGACTACTTATTTTGCTGGGTTTGTGTTGTCACTTTTAGGCAAAGAATAACAATTGAATGAAAAATTGATTTAATTCTCAAAAATTCCTCTAATGAGATTCACCATTGGAGCATAAAAAAACTTGGGGTTCTAAACTTTTCACAAATAAAAAAAATTATTAAAAAATGGGTAAAACCCCTATGAAAGGTTCACCATTGTGGATGCTCTTAGCGGATTTCGGCCCGGAAACATAGGAGAACTGAATTTAAAAAAAAAAGCCTTATATGCTAAGAACCGAATTTTAGCTAAGAACCTCAAGAGACGGGTTTTTACGCGATGTGGAGACTAGCTATTGGGCATTATTGTTTTTGGTTATCATTTTCTTAACTTTATTATCGTGTTTTCACAAGTTCATCGAAGAAAAAACTTTTCTCTAAAAACGACAATGAAGGTGATTCATCGGCGATTTGTAATCGTAACACCAAATCGGCGTGGTATATCTCAACGATCTCTGCTTACCACTTCAACCGATTGCTAAAGGTAAGAATTAATGGACGACATCGATTAGGTTTTTGGTTTGTCGAATTGGGGAAATTAGGGTTTGGGGATTTCGGGAAAAATTATTTGCATGTTCGGAGTGATTCAAATTAGGAATTTTTGGATCAAAATGTGTGTGTGTGTGTGTGTGTGTGTGTGTGTATGTGTGTGTGTGTGTGTGTTCTCAGCAATGATTGAAGACGATTTAAGGGTCTTTGTGTTTGATTTGTCGATTGGAAATTAGAGTTTGTCGATTTGTGTCTTTAATGCCATCTTAGTGTGATCACATTTTCTGTGTGTTTAATTTCAAAATTGGCAAAGTTTTTTGCGGCTTATGTCGAGTCGTGCCTTTGTCGATTTAAGGGACTTTGTGATTAATTTTTTCGATTGGAAATTAGGGTTTGTCGATTGGAAATTAGGGTTTGTCGATTTGTGTATTTGATGCCATCTTAGTGTGATCGCGTTTTTTGTCTGTTTGATTTCCAATTTGGCTAAGTTTTGTTGCGGCTTATGTCGCTTTGTGTCTTTGATGCCATCTTAGTGTGATCGCGTTTTTTGTGGGAATGAGTTATGCTATGATATCCAGGCTTTGTCTGTTATTTTCGATATTGCTAAGTTTGTTTTATATATTTTAGTTAAGGATTGTTAAATTTGAATGAGATTTGGTAATGAGTTATGTTATGAATGAGTTATGTTAGGAATGAGATGTGCTAACTTTGTCGATATTGGTAAGTTTGTATGTAATGATCGTTTGTGTGAATGAGTTGTGTGAATGAGTTTATCGAGCATTTCTTTCAGTTATGTTAGATATTGATAAGTTTGGTTTGAATGATTGAATGATTGAATGAGTAGTTATATGTTTTTGTTAAGTTTGGTTAGATGTTGTTGCCATTGTTTTCTGATTATTTTCATATCTCTTTCATGACAAGTAATGCCGAGTCTCAACAGTGACACCTCATCTGAAGGTCCAGAAATGGACATGGGGTGGGCATATGCAGATGCCACATTTGGCATCCCTGATAAATGTTTCTGTGGTCGAGATATGAAACTGGAATACCAGGCCGGTGCAGAGACAGGGATACCAGGCTGCAAGTGTTATACTTGTCCTGACTGGCTCAAAGAGGTAAGCTGAACATCTATTTCTGGTTTTTTTTCAGTCATTTTTGTGCTATGTATAAGGTTTTGGATTGTTACATATGTACTCATGTTTTTAAGTTTGAATGAGTTAAGACATATGTGTTTTTTAAGTTTGGTTTGATGTTGCCATTGTTTTTTGATTAGGCGAATGGTGAGTATAGATGACAATGGTGGGATGAGGCGGTGACCGAGCAGTTCTCGACCGTGCAGAGAAAGTTTGAAGAGCAAAGAGAGATGATGTTTAGGGTTTACAGACGTGAAGCTGTTGATCCCACCATTGGATATCTAAACAAAGAGGTCAGAGTGCTTCAAGAAGAAGTTTCCAGGCTGAAGGAGCACAATGCTAACCAAGGTGAAGGCTTAGTGATACTGTTTTTTTTTTTTTTTTTTGACATTCCAGCTATTTCATATTTGTTTAAGTAGCACTAATGAGGTGCATCTGTTCTCTGCTTTCTTTTACTAAGTAATGTTCCCTACGTGGAGTTTACTAATACAAAAATGTGTGGGTATCTTTATTTAAGTAAGTGAGACCATAGCTTTGTTGTAATGTTGTCTTATGGAGATGATGGCATATGGCTGTGCGGCTGACGAAATTGACGAGTACCTCCGGCTAGATGAAAATACGTCAATTTTATGCTTGGAAAAATTCACGGAAGGAATAATACATTTGTTCGGAGATGAGTACCTAAGAAGACTCACACCTGAAGATATTCAACGACTCCTCGATATTGGAGAGATACGTGGCTTTTCCGGGATGATAGGAAGCATCAATTGTATGCATTGGGAATGGAAAAATTGCCCTACCGCTTGGAAAGAGCAATATACACATGGTTCAGAAAAACCGACAATCGTCTTAGAGGCTGTTGCATCATAAGATCTTTGGATATGGCATACGCTTTTTGGACCTCCAAGTACCTTAAACGATATCAACTATCTTGATCGCTCCCCTATTTTTGATGATATATTACTAGGTCGAGTTCCTAAAGTGAAGTACTTGGTCAACGGACATGAGTATCATTTGGCGTATTACCTCTCATACAGTATTTATCCAAAATAGGCAACTTTTATCCAATCTATTCTAATTCCTCAAGGTCAGAAAGTATTATTTGCTACATATCAGGAATCCGTCCGAAAAGATGTCGAGATTGCTTTCGGAGTCTTGCAAACTCGTTTTACAATTGTAAAAAATCCAATTCTTATTTGGGATAAAGAAAAAATTGGAAAGATTATGAAACGAACGAGATGACTACACTTAGTATGATATATCAGCATTCGAACAAGGAGAATGAAACAGATCTTCACAAGTGGATATGACGTATTCAACAAATATACCTACAATCTCGGCAATATGATCGGCATTCGAAATCAAGTTCGTGATAGACAAATACATCAGCAATTGAAATCTGATTTAATTGAGCTACATTACACAATTTTGGTAACTCTCAAGATTACTACTAAACGTTTTACATTTTCAATATCTATATTTTGTATGTTTTAATAATCATGTAATGAAATATAAATTTGGTATTATAAATACAGTATGTTTAAAATTATTAACAAAATAAATTATAAGTTCAAATTAATTTTTAAAATAATATTATTTTATAAGTTTATATTATAAGTTCTCCATTACAAACTAGGAGTTCTTAACTATTCACAAATAAAAAAATTAATAAAATAATCCTAAGAACTCCAACAAAGAATTCACTAATGGATATACTCTTAGACCATCTCCAATGATGAACCTTTTCTTGAGGTTCTTAATTATTTTTTAATAATTTTTTTTATTAATGAATAGTTTAAAACCCAAGTTTATTTGTTCTTCCAATGCTAAACCTCTATAAGGTTCTTAGAATAAAAAATAATATTTTTGTAAATCAGTTTATGGGAGATGAACAAGAAGCAAAGAAATTCAGCTACACATTGGAGGTCAGTGGCAATGGCAGAAAACAATAAGCAGAAAACAGAGAGAAGTTTACTATTAAGTAAGGGCATGAAACAACCTTATTAACACATGCATCAATATTGTATCTCTGTTTAAAACCGATTGTAAATGTTGCTAGATATCTCGGTTCTTGGATGCTTAGAATTAGAGCATCTTGATCGGTTGTTGCTGCTGTTGATGTGATTCTGAATCCACCATCCCAACGCCTGTGGATGCCTTCACTCAGATACAGAAAATCAAGTTCCAACACTTGCCACTCATGTGGAGGGCCATAGTTGCAACCCTTGCTGCTTCGGTGCTCAAAATTGGAGAGGTGAGACAATGTTAACACGATTACACTAGTAACAGGATCTTTGTGGTGATAATCCACCTCAGTAGTAAGGTAAACTGAGTTACATTACCTCCAAGATGCTAGATCCTGCACTAAGTTCATTAACACTGCTAATACGACGTTTCACAAATATTTGTCCAAAACCACCCTTCCCCAGCTTTCTCTCAACCTTATATAATGGTGATTCTCCAACTTGGACCTGATAAGAGATAGGATCTTCAGTCATTGACATGGAAAGAGGGAAAGTAAGTCTAGATTAGATCGATAAAAAAACCCTCTTCCGAAGTCCAGTAGCCCCAAACCAGCCAAAATAGAACAGAAAAAGCTCTATGTGCTTAAACAAAAGGCAAGGCAAACATTACACCAAAACTCTACAATGTTAACCTCCGGCGATAGATGATTCTCAAATGGATTAACAAATAAATAAATCAAAGATAAAAATTAGGGATTAACTTATCTTCCTCCTTCAATTTTCTCGCCGCCAATCTGGTCCTTGACCTCTCCGCGGCTTATGTAACACTGACGGAAACCGCTTTCTGGATTTTATCGATACTCTTCCTCTGTTTCTTGTCTGTGGGCTATTGGAGAAATGAACCAAATTGTCGAAAGAAGGAGCCAATTTTTTTTAGAAGAATCGAATAAGGTGTTGACAGCTGGCCGAAAAACCCGTTAAGAGACGGGATCTAAAAGTTCTTCTGCAAGAGGCAAGTCTTCTGATAATTGGGATTTTTGATTTATTTTGAAACCCAAAAAAATAAGAAAAATGGCCCCACTTAAGAACCGGCAAGAGCCAGCGTTGGAGCTGCTCTTAGCTTCTTTACATAATGGTTGTCTTGTCGCCTCAACTATAGTAATATTGTTATCATGAGTCAAATCATATCTTCAAAAGGAAAAATATCACTCAACGCTTTATAGAAATGAGTCATCTGAGTATATTATATCATGAGAATAGGCTTAATTACTGCATCATATTTTATTATAATCACATTAAAAAGAATACATATTGTATGTCATTTTAAAATGAGAGAATTATTTTTTTGAATAAATCCTAATTTAATCAGATTTAAACGGATTCCAACAGGGATTTACGCTAAGAATTTGTAATAAATTTGATAGTTATGGTGTTATGTTAGTTAGTACATGTCATAATGTAATTACAATACTTAGTATAGTTATACACACATTTTTAAAACTCGGATATACAATGTAGAGTTGTTTGGGTATAAACTAAGAATTGAAGGCAAAACTAAGAAAGTAGAAAGTGGATAAAATATTTTAGATGGAAAAGTGTTGGATAATTTATATTCTCCGATTTGCCCCTATGCTATGTGTAGACAGCGATATTTTCCACAGATATTGGAACCGACATAGCATTTAATTCTCTGAGGGTTGCACAAGTTATAGGACGCCGCCGCTTGACACACAGATTTGCAATATCTAATTATTGCTTGGACACTAACTAGTTCAGATAATAACGACATCAGGACGCTAACTATTATTTTAAATTAGTTAACACCTCTATTTAATGCATACCCGGTAATGCGAATTCAATACAACAACATTCTCTCTGGTTCTTCTTCATTTAACATACAGAATCCATGTTCTGTCTGCAATAAGTGCTGCAGAGAAGGAAGATTGAACTGGGGAAACTCAGATATCCAAAAAATTCCAGGTAAACTTTCCACATTAAGTTAAATATTATCCCCATTTTTTTTTATTGATGCGCAACTTAGTTATGGGAGATGTTGAAATAGTTATCAATTACTATCGATATATCAGTTATCTAACATTCAAATTTTTGTCTCCAAGGAAATAAGATCGATGACTCTTCAAGTTTCTGGAAGAAACTCAGTAATGCGAGTTGGGTTCACGAACCAGACAAAGTTGGGTTCCACGGGTCCGTATGTATGAAGGAAAGAGACTCTTTCCGTTTGATGGTGCAACCAATCAAAACGGAGTTAAAACTGGAGCCTGAAGACGATGTCGAGGTGACTTACACTTCGCCGAAATGGATCTTGGGACCGGAGTGGATGAAAACACCACCAGTCTTTATACTGAACGATGAGGATGCTGCGTTTTTTGGCTATAAAGGCAGATCTGGACGAGGTGTTTCTGAGAGTTAGGGTTTATCGAACAACCACGGAGACAGAAGATAACCCAGGAGAGCGTATATTAGATTTAAACACTAACTGTGTTAGCAATACCGTTACATGGATGGCTATTATACCTTATAGGGCCCATTATTCTAGCTCTTCATCCCATATATACACTCCGATGACAGTTCTGCCACCTTTAAAAGGTATAAATTCTTAACTTTTCTGTCTAATATAAAAAATAAGTAAGCATTTCTAAACATATTGCTTACAAAAACTTTCTGTTATAAGGTTTTCCAGCAAAGGAGAGTACAACTTTGGCACCAGATATGAACTCAACAAGTTTTCCGACTACTAGCGTAAGGGGTACGTTTGGAACATTAGGTTGTTCAAAAATATCTTCAATCATCAAAAATAGATTGTTAGGAACCAACAAATCAACTTAGCATGCTATGTTTTTGTTTAACAGAATTCTATGCAAGTGGAACCAATATTCTTCTCCCTACCGATTCGGACGAAGCTAACACTTCTGCAAAAAAGAAAGGTATGATATTCCTCCTTTTTTCCATTGGCCGAATCTGTATGTCAAATTGTACCTGATATATCTGTTAACTCGTGTTGTGTATCTGAAGGTATAATGCTAGATGTTTCTCAAGACGGTGAAACAGGGGTTAACAACACACTGCTTCCTCAGGATCTGTCGGAACTGTGGCATTTCTTCCATGGACCACCAGGTCCATTTAGGAGAGCAGCAGAGGATATTGAAAATGATGTAGTTACCAAAGGAACTGATGGAGTTGACATCATGGATATTGATGGCTCCGTCAGAACATCAATACTTCCCACAGCATGCCGTGAAGCTGGCCTACAGCTTACGTTAGCTGGAGCATACATCAACGATGATAATGATTTCACCATTGTGCCAATACAAACAAATATGGCACATATAGAGTTATTATCCTCATCCACCTTCATCACGCCTTCATCAAGTAGCCATGCCTTTTCTGAGGAAGAGCTTGTGTCAACGGAGGAAATAGATATACATATTTCATTCATTGGTAAGGAAGTTATTTCACACGTTCTACGATATTTCAAATTTAGTAAACCTATAGCACATTGAGTTATTTGGTGTC